ATGAATGAATGAATGAATGAATGAATGAATGAATGAATGAATGAATGAATGAATGAATGAATGAATGAATGAATGAATGAATGAATGAATGAATGAATGAATGAATGAATGAATGAATGAATGAATGAATGAATGAATGAATGAATGAATGAATGAATGAATGAATGAATGAATGAATGAATGAATGAATGAATGAATGAATGAATGAATGAATGAATGAATGAATGAATGAATGAATGAATGAATGAATGAATGAATGAATGAATGAATGAATGAATGAATGAATGAATGAATGAATGAATGAATGAATGAATGAATGAATGAATGAATGAATGAATGAATGAATGAATGAATGAATGAATGAATGAATGAATGAATGAATGAATGAATGAATGAATGAATGAATGAATGAATGAATGAATGAATGAATGAATGAATGAATGAATGAATGAATGAATGAATGAATGAATGAATGAATGAATGAATGAATGAATGAATGAATGAATGAATGAATGAATGAATGAATGAATGAATGAATGAATGAATGAATGAATGAATGAATGAATGGAACTGAGGGGGCCTTGCATGGAGCAGTGATGATGACATGCAAGGCAGGGTGGGATTATTCAAAGGTCTAAGCACTAACATTTACTCTGAGATTTGGGGTCTCTACTTCCAGGACTTATTGGGACAAACCACTTCTCCACACCAGTTGTTAGCATCTCCCATTGCATCGTGAGGTCGAAGGGAGTCGGATGACCTGGGGTATGAACACAGAACCACATCCCTGGCTCGGGGGTGGGGGGGGCACCTTTAAAGGCCCCGTTCCTCTCCTTGCCCCACAGTCTCCACCACTAACCTTGCTCGTTGACCCCCAGGTCACTGACACGCCACGATGGTGGGCAGCGTGTGGGTTGCTCTGGGACTCTCCCTGACCTGCATCTCGGCCCTCAGCCTCCTCTCCCCTGCCTGGTTCCAGACGCCCACCTTCTCCTTTGGCGTCCTCTCCTACTGCTCCTGGCCTCAGGGTGACAGCTGGAACCAGAGCTGTGGGATCTTCAGGTCCCTGGATGACATTCCGGACTTTGCCTGGAAGGTGAGTCCTCTGCTCATCAATTCACTGGGACCTGGGGTGTGAGGGAAGGGGGACTGTCAAACCCACGGGCGCGAAACAAAGCCAAGTTCTGCACCACCGCCGCCAGCCCTGACCTGAGCCTCTGACTCGGGGTGCTGGGGGTC